GGGTTTTAAGCACAAATTACTGGAAACCCACAAGTCATGATTACTGTGTTTGCATCCAGCTCAGAAGAGGAACCTAAATGTTCTACCAACAATTGATGAGATTATGAGCTTCCTCTTGGGCTTTGTTTTACTGGCTTAGAATATTTGCACACATTCACTCTTAATGGAGAGCATACGGATTGGGTATAATCTTTTTAGGAAACTAAATTGAGGGTGCATAAATGTCCCATTCATGGAGATTTACATATCAAACTTAAATCTTTACTTTTTTTCTTTTGTAAAGGCCATGTGGAAACCTGCCTATGACTTCCTGGTCACGTGGGCAGCCCAGATTGGGGACAGTTACAGGGATGTGATTCAGGAACTTCACACTGGATTGGACAAAATGAAGAACCCTATTACCAAGCGCTGGAGGCACATCACAGGCTCCCTCATCCTTGTCAACTGTCTGGATCTTCTACGGAGCTCCGCTTTCAGCCCCTGCTCTCAAGATGACTGCGCCATATAAAGACTGCTTACATCGCCTGACGTTTACAAGACCCAGACACACCTGATTTCAATTGTATTCATTGTGTTGTTTTTAATATTCTTAAAAGCACTTATATGTTTGCACAATAGATTTGTTGCACTGTAAATTGTACATTGAACCAAATTACTGAAAAGTGTAGGCCTATTGCTGATGTTTTAATACAAGCAAAAGTCTCTATCTCATGTAAAACTTTAATGTAAAATAAGATATGATTGTTCAGATTTTTTATTCATTGCATATCATCATGATTTTATACTTATACTAAATTTTGCACAAAAGATACACTTTTACATACTTCTACATTTTTCACTAATACTGTAACAATCGTACTCTTTTATGTTTTGTGATGCCAACACTGTATGCTAAACTGCCTGTTTTACTTTGCTCCAAGTGTCTATTTGTTTATGTTGTTTAGTTTTAAGTAGCCTGATGTTTTTATAAGTGAAAGTAAATGTTAGGATGAAACGTAAAATGGAAAAAAAATTATAAAACATTATCAGCTTAATAAAGATATACACCACATAATAAAGTAATGGGATCACTTTAGTCCACTTTTAAATAAAACGTAAAACTCAAACTCTTCCATCAGCACATGTTGGCCTATAACTAAATCATCTAGTCATCAGTTTACAGATATTAAAAGATTTACTCACCATTCATTTGGGACGCTGGAGGCGGAACATTTGCCTTTTGACCATTTTAGTGTTAGTGTTGTTATTTAAGCGTCTCCGCTTTGTTGATAAGTTCCGTATAAACTCCGTATATACATTTGGAACACTCGTTGTATTGCAATAGTAATGTAACTTTCATTTATGGCGCACAATTTTAAATTTACAGTTCAAGGATTTCAACTACAAGGTGCAGCGGAAGTCGAAACGATTTTGCGTGTGCTGCTATCCCGCCTTCAGGTGCGTACGAATTAAAGCTGCCGCGGAGTTTGCTGTGTCTTGATAAGAATGTTGGCCTACTATCAAAGATTTCTGATTAAATGACGAATGATTCTTGTTTGATATTGATGTCAACGTAAATGGCTTTAATTTGTGCAGAATATACGAAGATAGTTATTTTTAAAAAAGTCAATTTGATTGTTATGATAATTCCAAACAGCACTGTTTTCCCCCCAAAATACACATTATATTCATACGATTTAGTTTGATGTTCCAAGGGATGGTCCATGTAAATCCAATGCAAATTTATCAGTTGAACACTTTTGTTCATTCAAAGTTAAAATAAATCATTGAATTTATATATTTTTACTTTGAGTGAACATTTTAAATGTAATAAATCATATGTTTAAGTATTATGTGGAAACTAAATGTTGAAACTATACCATGTAGAAAATAAAAATGTCATGTTTTTCTAGCCTATATGTCTCTGATTTGCATCTTCCTATCATGCATTGTACAAGGTCACAGCATGTCACAGTAGATTTGCTTACACATTTACTGTGCAGATTCTAGGATACTGTCCTGTCATAAATTTACAATACATACATTAACCTCACTGACATGTTGAAAATAACCTTTCATTTCTGTCCACCTTTCCTCGAAAGAGCTTATGTATCAAGTTGACTTTAACTCTCACATTTGTAAGAGTTAATTGTTGAGTGTAGATGGCATGTCCTTGATATGATGACTTTGAGTGACAAAACCCACTCAAAAATATTAATCTGGTCGCAGTCAAAGTGTAACATTAGACATTATCGTAAGTTTTAAGTTTTTCTTGATGTGCTTACTGGGAGTTTTACAAACCTATACTTGCTGTGTGGGAATTCCAGTCTTATCACTCCAGCATAATTTTTCTCGCTGCTTGACAGGCTCTCCCAACAAAAATTATGACCAGTGTAAACAGTCATCATTGTGGGTCTTACAGAAATAAGCTTACATCTTCCCCTAGACATGCAGACAGCATAGTTCCCATCACACACCCTTCATCAGTACCCTCTCTCACTCTCTGTGGAGAACCCTGGACTACAGACAAAAATCTGAAAGACGTGTGTGTGTGTGTGTGTGTGTAATATAATGAACATGTACAGTCAACTGTGAAGATTTTATACAGTTGTAACTGGTATTCCGCAGACACAGTCAAGCAAGTGTGTGTTTATGAATGTGTCTGTGTTTGCTGTGATATGCCATAAATAAACTGTGTTCCTTCTCATGTCAGTGAGCACTGGAGTTTTTTTCTCCTCAGTTCTGTTGAGGAAGACAAAGACAAATGGCTTGCCTCAGTACATTGCTTCATTTTTCTTTCTCTCCATGCTAATGCTATAAAGAACAGTGTCCTGAAATATTCTATAAATAGTCAATTATTGTAAGATTTCAATTAGAGCAGTTCATGATTGAATGTTACATTCTGAGTCATTTTACTGCCTAAATAGGTAAGTGGGAAACTAAAAAATAAGGCCAGTTCCCAGTAATTTCTCCTCTAACATTTCCATCACACATCTACCACCTAGTGGACAAACAGTTAATATAAAGGACAAAGTTTTACTCAGTGTAAAGACAATTCCTTGAAACATCCGAATTTAGCATGTGTGTTGTCAAACTTAGCAAATGTTGATTGAATAATATCTTTAAATCTAACATTAACGATTATTGTCATATGTTTAAGTTAGTAGCAGCTCAGTTCTTTTAACTAAAGTTTGGAAAATTATTATAACTTTTCAGTCTATAATTAACCATGGTTTTATTATAGTAAAAGTGTAGTAACCATTGTTTTTTGGCGCATTGATTACCATTTGTATAACCATAGTTTTACTACAAATACCATGGTTAAACTATGGTTACTGTAGCAAGACCCTAATTTGTGGTTACCATGGTTTAACTATCCCCTTACGAAAATTAACCATGGTTTTACTACAAATATAACCAAAAAAAACATGGTTAATTTTGGTAAAGGGATAGTTTACCTAATAGTAACAACATTGATCATTGGTTTGGAATACTTTGGCGTATTGATTTGTCAAAAGTAGCTACTTCATATGACTTTTCCGTTTAAAAGAACACGGATATAGAAAAAAATGTAGTACCTACTATGGACGCCAGATGGCGATATA